TGACACACACACACACACACACACACACACACACACACACACGTGTCCGAGTCCAGCGAAGGGTAGTAAACGGTCGGAGTAGCCAGTCAAGAATCCAGCTTAGCGTAGAACGCAGAGCGTCGAGTCGAGAGTCAAGCGTCTCTCTGGCACACACACGTTCGAGTCATGCGAAGTGTAGTCGACAGTCGGACGGTCGAGTCGAAAGTCCAGCGTAGCATGCGCGAAGTAGCGAGTTGAGGGTGAAGTGAAACGTGGCTAACCCAGTCGAGAGTCAAATTGAGTGGGTAGTGTGGCGTACCCAGTCGAGAGTCCCTTAGCGCAGAGGAGCTTCGAGCCCAGCCGTAGACTCGAGGGGAAATCCCGACTCCAATCCAGTGTCGGCCTGATGGGGGCCGCGCGATCCAGCGCCGGTCAGATGGGGGCGGTTTGTCCACGTGTCACCCTTCCGAATGAAGGTTGTTACGCGTGTCCACGGCGCCCGGTACCTGCGCGGTGTCCACGGCGCCCGGTATCTGGCCGCGAAGTTTGCCGCGCGCGTTTTTAGGCAAAAATTGGCCGCACGGTCCTTCGGGACAGCCGTTAAAATTGGAACGATACAGAGAAGGAAGGTTAGCATGGGCCCCTGCGCAAGGATGACACGCATAAATCGAGAAATGGTCCAAATTAAAAAAAAGAAAAAAAAAAACTGGCCGCACGGTACCGGGCCACTGCCACACGCTACCCGCCAAAAGCGCTACGGTTGGCTTCCAACACGATCAACTCACAATCTCCACCTTACGATTAAACGCTTGCCATGGTCCAGATTGCGAGTTGATCCTTTCAGAAACGATCGGCGGCCAATCCTGACCGTCCTGCAGCGATGAAAGGGAAGGCCCGGATCGTCTTCTGGTCACAGCCCACGAAATAGCAACTGTTTACTTTTCGTTTTACATTTTTGCAAACGCCCAGGTTGTTGCACCAGCCAGCCATTGGTTGTCCTGACAATCGTTCAATTTGTGAGACCGCCTCCCGACCCATCCCCCAGTGCACCCCCTATTCAATTGACTTACAGTGAGGGCATGGGTACGCAGCCCAGAGTTTGTATATGCTTGATTGATAAAGGAGGCGTTATCGGTGAGGTTTAGAAGTAGGGTGATTGTTGCATGAAAAAAAAGGAGTATTTGTGTGTATGTGTCAAGATTAGTGTGTGTGTGTTTGTGTGATACTTAGGGTGTTTGTGTTTATCACATCTGTTAGTGTTGGAATGTGTGGGATGTAGGTAATTTGGATGGTATTAATGTATTAGATATTTGACATACCTTGATTCATAGTTGGTGTCAAGGCTGGTGGTCCGTGAATCTTGGTCCATATGTCGTGTATGTGTGTGCTTGAGTGATTGTTGTTGTAAGTTTCTTTTTTTTTAATTAAATAAAAGTTGTTTTGTCACATGTGACTCACTCAATCAGGAGCTGAACGTGTGGGGCGTTGAATACGTCCACGTTCAGACACATCTGTTTGCACTTGCAAATGCAATGCAGGTGTGTCGTTTCAACCTGCGGCCAAGGTCGCGCCCTTTCCGATTCAGACTTATCCACTTTTCCACCCTGTCGCTGCTTTGCCACCGTTTCGACCAAAACCCAGCGCGCAGTCCCACGGGCAGCTACCGGTCCCGCATTTTTCAAAGAAACTGCCACCACCCCCGAATGATCCACCTTGCTGCTGCTTTGCCACCGTTTCGACCAAAACCCAACGCGTGGTCCCACTGGCAGCTACCAATCCTGCATTTTTCAAAGGAACTACCTCATTGTTAATCACCTTGGACTGTCACCTCGTTATCTCATAGCACCCTTGGACCGAAAAGCAGTTACAGGCACCAGGGCTAGGCAGGTTTGTTATTTTATTACTAAGGGACCAGGTGCGGCTACGCCCGCAATAATGAAGGACGGTACACTAAAAAAGCGTAGTAGCCTAGATTCATGCTCTTTTCTTTATTCATTTCGACTGCTCTGTAGGCGATCTGGGCTGACATGGTGTAATTGAGAGAGCCTAAGGGCACTTGTTGGAAGTCCCCATCAAGTATAAGAGTATCATTACCACCAGTATCTTTCCCCACTTGAAAAACAATACCCCGGGGAAACTTAGAGAATAAAAGAAAAGACAATAAAAATAAAAATTTTGAAATGCCCCTCTGAAATCCATTTATTTGTGGCATGCCCCTGCAACACCCGGGCCCGACTTACCCTATTGTGCCCCTCTGGAACTTTTCAAGTTTCCGGAAAAAAAACGGGTTCGTCTAGGCCTTAAATATGTTTGGTATGCCCCTACTGGTACTGGTTTCAAATTTCCGATATGCCCCTACCGGATACCCGTTCAGTAAGCGGCCAAACGATTTCCATATGCCCC